GGCTTTAGTGTTTAGGAGTTTAGGGTTTAAGGTGCTTCGATTTGCATTCAGTGTTAACCCTAAACCCTAAACCAAACCCAAAACCTTAAACCCTAAACCCTAAACCCTAAACCCTAAACCCTAAACCCTAAACCCTGACCCTGGATCTGACAACCTGAAAACTCCAAAGTCACACTTCCACCATCGTGGAGCGGCCCGTGAACCTGCCTGCGTCGGCTTTGTGGAGTGTTTCTGCCGAAAGGCGGCATGCAATATGGGTAGTTGTCAATATTATGGTCCCTTTTGGGGTACCCCAATTAATAGGTGCCGTATTATAATAAGGACCCAAACAGGGACCATAGTTTTGACAACCACCCATATATAATATAGAGGCCTTACCCATAGGCCCCATAGTAGTTCCTTTTGGTGGTTTATACTTAGGATCCGATGAGGGAATCCCCAAAAAGAACTACTATGAGGCCTATGGGTAATAATTACCTATGTTAGTTGTGGGGGTTCCTTATTATAGTTTTAGTACAATCTACCCCAAGACCCCGTCCTAATTATTAAGGCCCCTGCATTACCCCCAGCTCGAGGCCCTGAGCTCCAAGCCCATGCCTGAAGCTACCAGAACCGCTTCGTAGGTTCTTAACTCAACCCGTCAATAGTTGTCATACAAAAAAGTAGGTTTTTGTAGGTGAAGGTTTAGGCTCTGAGCCCTAAACCGTTATCCCTGAACCCCAGCCCTCACCGCGACACCGTTGACCTTGCGCCCCAAACCCTCTAAACGGTGAGCCTCAACCCTAATAGCATTAAGTTTCGATCCCTAAGGTGCGGGTGGCTCGCTTGCTGACGCCCTGAAGGACCTTTTCATCACCAACCTTGCAGCAATATAGGGGTCGGACTAGTTGGCAATAGTACCCCCTTAAAGTCCCTGTAAAACTATAGCACAGGGTACAACAAAAGGCTTATTCTAAGTGCAGTAAGGCCCCTCTAGTGCGCCATGAGTAAATCAGTCAAACTGCAACCGCAAACCTCTGCTGTTCTCTGAGCGACATTTCTGTGCATTATTTCCGGTGTGGCTTTTCGGATCCCCAAAAGCCCTAGACCCCGAATGCAAAGCCCACCCTCACCCTAACCTGGGCCCTGAAAAACTTACCGTCTTAAGGGCTTATATGCAGAAGTCAGACTATAAGGAACCGTAAAGAGGCCTAAAGAGGTTAGATGATATAGGAATCCTAAACCCTCAAGAAATGCCACGAACGTCCCGTTGATTCATCTGCAAGTTTACAGGTGTGCAGGTCCGCAAGTCTTCCCAACGGCTCTTTCCCTAGTGGTCTGCACAGGCTGAGAGGTTCTGGGTTCTTCTTGTTAGTGGTTCAGACATACTAGAAGGCCCCTAGGTTCTCCTTATTAATGGTCCGCACAGACTAGGATTCACCTTGCTACATGTCCGCGCAGGTTAGGACCACCTTGGATTCACAGGGTTAATGGTCCGCACAAGCTAGGACGTTCCTGGATTAACAAATCTCCTGGATTCGCCTTGAAAGTGGACAGCACAATCTAGGAGGTTCCCAGATTCACGTGGCTAGGGGTCCCGGACCCCACCGTTTCACCTAGACGGCAGTTCAGCCGCAGCCTCACGATATTACCGGCGCAACGGGCGTTTGCACGGTCGTCCCTAGCCCCGTCCGCAAACATCCCGAAACCTTCCATTGCACCCTTAAAGCGCAGCTTCCGTGTGGTGCCTCCAGAAGCCCCTTAAAAGGAGTTTCTTTAGTGTTGCTTTGAAGCAATATCGCACGATGCATTGACAGTAGTATGTCGGAGAGCTATAACGGATCGAAACTCTTACACATCGAGCTCGCGACGATCAGCTTATGTGCCGGACTCAGTTGCTGGTTCATGCATCTGCGCGCGGAGACTCTTCAATCGGTCTTCACTCAACGTCCCATCAGCGGTCGCGGATGAGCCTCGTACAGATGATAGAAGACTACACCCAGCTCCCGGGCACGACCATCGCGAAGGCCAGTTGCGGACACACAATTCGCACCACAAACTGCATAGCGACTACGCAGTCGGGTCAAAGCAAGCTTGGGAGAAACTGGGCCAGTGCTGCATCAAGAACGGCTTCGCCTTGCTCGACATCACTTGCGAATCCAGGCTTCAGCACACGTACTTCTAAGACGGACCACGGCGCCATCTGCCTCTAGGCCAAAGAAGCTGCCGACCACATCGCGGAACAGACGATCGAAAAGTTTGGCTTCTGCGCTAAGAAGGCCAACGTGAATTTCTTGGATGCGGTGCTCATCTTCCTAAAGGCCAGCTGCCATCTATTCAAGGAGTACCGACCGACGTTGCACCGCAAAGTTCGCTGCGACAGGTAACAATCAGCCATGAGACTCGTGAGCAGCTGCTAAACGCATTAGCACAGCAGCCTAGGCTCAGGAAGCAGATCACATGCCCCGAAGCAAATTCGCTTCCAATCCCTAATTTTTCCTAGACACGGAGCGGCTGAAAGACGTCCAGGAATCTGCTGAGAAAGAGTTCGAGCACCCAGCAAACTAGTTGCGCATGTGTGCGTGGATTCTTTGCCGGACGACTGGAGGTCATAGCACACTGCTGCTAGGCGGTGGACACACACGCACACACAAGTACAGCGCAGCAAACTCGTGTCGGTACTTAGTTGCACATGGTGTTTTATGAGCTCCTGCTCCCACCTTTCCAGCAGGCAGGAGCAACGGCTCGCATGCACCTAGCTGGCAGGAGCACCGCAACGATGTCTCGGTGGCTAACAGAGACAATCACAGGGTGCAGGTTTCGTCCTCTAATGCACCTATAGCCCGCTACTACACTTGTCGAATTGTCGGAGAAAGATTTGTCCCTCCTACAGGACAACCCGGTATACCCCCCTTCCTGGCTCCAGCAGTGCGCAGACGGAACCAACTCGCACGCTCGTCGCGAAGAAGCCTTCCCTCTCGCAGCAGCCAAGCCCCAAGACAAGCTTTCGCCGGAAAGCATATTCAGATGCCTTAGTCCCTTAGTTCGGTCTGAGCGAATAGCCGGAAGAGTCGCAAACATTGCTCCTCGAGCAAGCTCTTGTCGCGCCGAACTGGCGTTCACACAGTATCGGGAAGGTCTGCGCGTCAGCACTTCGTCCACGAGCAGCGTATCATACCATGTGAACGCTCGCGCGAGGCATGGGGGCTGCTACCTCGAGATCGGACGTCGGACAACCTTTCCGGGCAAGGCGCCTGCCCTCTGCACCGATCTTTCCGACTCCACGTGATCTCGTGTGGTATGCTGATTCTCCCGGAGGTCAGACGGGCAGTGGTACTGGCGATGGGCCGAGAGGTGGTGCACCGGCACCTACACGTCTGCTCGCCTGGCCAGCTTAGCCGCGTATCACTGCCGTAATGTTGATTACACACAATGACAACCCAGCGCAGCCAGGTTTTGGGTGTAGGGGTTTCCCCCTATAGAGACCCTTTTGCAAACCCATTTGGGACCCTGCAGCCAGCCCGTACAACCCTGGTCTAGCAGAGGCCCATGCCCTTGAAGTCGATAGATTTCCTAAGGACTTTGGGTTTAGGCTTTAGGGTGTGCATGTCTCCCAAACAACCAAACCGTGAGCTGTACAGGAGCCCATCAAACGAGTTCCGGAACCCTAAACCCTAAACGCTGAACCACAAGAGGATGCAAAGAGCCTCCCGTGGCCAAAACGTGCGGCGAAGTGGCAAGCAGTCTTGTCGAAGCTTCGCGATTTTTTTGTTTCAATGTTTGTCGTTTAGGATTAAGGGTTTAGTGTTCATAGGAGTAAAATATTTGTGCTGATTGTTGTTATAGGGTTTTTAGAGCTTGGTTCTATAGGTTGCATGTATAGGCCTTGTAAGAGCTTTACAGGGCTTTACAATACAAGAACTTCATAGGTTTATTTGTACTATGGGGCCTATGGGTAGGGTCAAAGGTTCAGGGTTTGTGGTTTAGGGGAGTGACACTTTGACGTTCCGGGTGGACTCACAGATTGTGCCAGGAAATGAGGATCCGATGCGGAAAGGGTCGTTTGCTTTTTCGGGTCGTCCTTGCATCTACCACGAGTTCTCGTATGATTCCTCCGAATTAGCATTCGATCTTGTTCCCCCAAACTCCCAACCTAAACACCGCACAGGCCCCAAAAACTGCGCCGTTCAACCTCCGTGCACGAGAATCTCAAACCCAAAACTCAAATTTTTGGGATGACCTAATAGGATCCTAAATATAAGCCACAAGAAGGAACTACCATAGGGCCTATGGGTCAAGCCCCGAAGCCAAAAGCTCAAAGCCCTAAACCCTGAGCCCGGAAGCCTTGAATGCTACACCCTGAAGCCCGCCCCCGAAGCTGCGAGAGCAAATTCACCCCTAAACTTTGCAAAGACCCTAATCTATGTGTACCTGAATGAATGTAGACCCTTGATGAATGTACCGCGGAGCCGGGAGAAACATGGTAAGAGGGATCGTAATATGGAGGCCGTTGCAGAAACAGGTTTGGGTTCTTTTCGTTTGCTTCAAACCGTTTTCTCTTATAAGACCATCTAAAGCCCGGATGAAACCCAAAACCCCGAACCTTAAACCC